GTCCTCCTGGGACCCTGGTGTCCACGACCCAGTCTTTTCCTCCTTTTTCCCAGGACCCTGAAGTCCTGGCTCCGAGGAAAGGGGATTTGATGTCAGAGAGGAGGGGGCTGGAAGCAACAGGTCCTAGGCAGGTTGGAGCAAGCCCCGCACACTGCACCCCTCCCAGCCCCGTTCCTGGAAGCGCAGGGCAGACTCATATGCAGCTTGACCATTCTACTCTGTGCTGCTGAGGAAGTGGTTAGAATGACAGCAGGGTTAGGTTAGATGACAGAGGGAAGAACCTCCGAGGTGCGGGGTGCGCCTTGGGGACAGAGAACAGGCGTGTGGTGTCTGTAGACAGGGAAACTCTGTGCTGCTGAGGAAGTGGTTAGAATGACAGCAGGGTTAGGTTAGATGACAGAGGGAAGAACCTCCGAGGTGCGGGGTGCGCCTTGGGGACAGAGAACAGGCGTGTGGTGTCTGTAGACAGGGAAAGGGGGGGGGGGCGCCAGGATGGAGGCAGGGGTGGCCTAGATGACCACTCTGGTTTCGGGGCTGAGGTGGGACACTAGGAAATGGTTTCTGTGGAATCCCTAAGGTTAGAGGATAGAGCATTTGGGGGGCCAGGGCGGAGTGGTCAAGGGTGAGGGAGCCATGGTGGGGAGCCCTGGGGAAGCTGAGACAGGAGACGGGGGCGGGCATGTGGCCTGATGTGAGGAGATGGGGGCGAGCCTACGGGCAGGTCGTCTGTGGAACCAAACTACTCTCCTGGGGTTTAGTGGAAGGTGGGGGCCTCTGAGGTCTCCTTGTCCTTGGGTCTCTGTGAGTCTCTGTGTCTCTGTCTCAAAGGGCCTTTTCTCTGCCTGCCCGCCCCACCTCGCCCACCCCACCCAGCTCTGCCGTCCTGATTGCTCTGGTCTCTGCCCTGCCCCACACTTCTGTGAAGGTTTTGCTGCAGCTTTTTGGTATTTTTCCAATCTGGAGCTGAAGGTGGGAGGCGTGTGTGTGAGTGTGTGAGTGTGTGTGTATCGGGGAGCAGGCAGGGTGGGTGGGGAGAGGTGACCTTTGTTCTCCAGGGAGTCTGGGCCCTAGGAAGCTGAGGTCCAGTAGACAGGGCTCGTGGCCTGGGTCTTGAATCTTCAGAGCGCGAGCGGTGGGGGTGGTGAGGCAGCGCTGAGGTTCCAGGTGTGGAAAGCCTGCCCGGTTTCGGGCAGGGACTCTGATGGGATCCGCAGATGTGTGGCTCCGGGGCCCGGGTGTGCTTTTGCTTTTCGGGGGCGGCCCCACCCCCTCCCCCAGCCCATCTCCCGAGCAGGGGGCACCGGCTCCAGGGAGAGCTCTTTTTCTTCCTCCTTCCTTTGAGGGCTCCGAGTTGTCCCCCCCCCCCAGCCCCGGACCTGCAGCTCTCCTTGCTCTCCCTGCTCTCCCATGTCCTCCCTGCATCCCCGGTGCCCAGGATGATCGATTGCCCAGATGTTGTTTGTGCTGCAGATGGGACCGATGCCAGAGACCCAGAGACCAGAGATATGGAAAGGGGGTGAGAGTGAGAGAGAAAGATTCAGGGAGAAAAAGATGGGCAGATGTGAGGGAAATGGAGGGAGACAGAAGAAGCAGGGAAATGGGAGAGACAAAGAGAATGAGAGAGATGGAAAGGCGAGAGATGTTGAGAACGTGGAGAGACAGAGTCAAAGACTGAGAGGGGTAGGGAGGGAGTAAGAGGGGGAGGGCAGGGGTGGGTGTGGGCTTGAGTATCGGCCCAATGCTGCTCTTCCCCTGCGGGCCACTTGGTGACCTCTCCAGGCCACATTCAGGAACAGGTAGGGGAGAGGTGACCTTTGCCTCCGTGGGAATTTGAGCCCTGGGAAGCTGAATTCTGGATCCCAGATGTGCCTGTTTAGAGCTTCCTGGGAGCATGTCTCGTCCCCTGACCTCTCGGCCTCTCCCAGGTGCACCCCCTGTGGATGTGCTCTGGGCCCTGAGGTTCCCTTCCCTCCCTGATGGTGTCCGGAGGGCGAGAGGCATCTGCCCAGCCGATGTAGCCTATCGAGTGTCACGGCCCGCCCAGCCCAGCGCA